TGGCTAAGGCTGCAACATTCTAAATTGCCTTTCCCCCTCCAGGGTCTCTCTCCACGTGGCTTCTCACTGTTCAGTAGTCTAGCTCGCTCTTTCTTATGGCATGTTGGAGCTACTGTTTTTCTAGAAGAAGGGAGGAAGCAGGAACCACTGGAGTTTTTTTTTGTTTTGTTTTGTCTTTTCGCAGCTGGCCATCTGAACCTTTGACCTTGGTGTTATCAACACCACATTCTAACCAAGTGAGCTATCACTGAAGTTCTTATAGCTGGTGCTCAGAAGTCCCCAAACAGTACTTCTTTGGTGTTCTGTTGGTCAAAGCCAGTCTCATGCCTGCCCAGATTCAAGAGGAGGGGAAACGGATTCCATGTCTTTCACTTACAGGGATGTGAAGAGTTGTTAGCAGCCATATTTGGAAACTAGCTCCCACCCCTCCTGGCCTCACAGCTGATTGCACCTTGAGCAGTCCCTGGACCCAAGGTGAGCTGACCACATTCTCTCTTGAGAATCTGAGAACAAACTGGAGATGTCCTTATCAGCCCTGAGCACCTGCCCATAGGGTAAGTGGGGGAAGGTGGTCCACAGGGGAGGCAGGAGAGGGGAACATCCATGAGAAGCCATCAGGCCCTGCAAGAGTCAAGTGAGAGCCACGTGGGCTTCCCCCACCCTGATTCTGGGGTCCCTTTGCCTGTCAGGGAGATTGCCTGTTGTGTATTCACCATCCTCTGGTCCTAACTGCAACTGGGAAATCGTTGGCAGCTTTCAGCAAGTGACTGTCATGATCTGATCTGTGCTTTCACCACCTTCCTGTGTGGAGAACTCCTTGGAGGGGCCAGCATAGAGGGAGCAGGGACACCTGCCAGGAGGCAGTGGTTGATAACTGAGGGAGAGATGGGGTGGCTTGGATTAGGGTGGTGATGGGGGCCTCAGGAGACATGCCTCAAAATCTGTTTTGGAATCAGAGCCATCAAGACTTGGATTAGATGGGAGGTGTAAGGAAAAGAAAAGAATCAAAGAGGAATTCCAAGTTTTGGGCCTGAGCAACTGGTGAATGGAGGTGTCACTTACTGAGACTCAGAAGCCTGGAGGAGGAGCAGTTTGAGGAAGGAGACCAGGAATTCTGCATTGGACATGTTATGTTTGAGACGCTTGCTGACATATCCAAGAGACATAGCCATTGCCTCCCAGACTGTACTCTAGCCCCCTGTATTAGTCCGTTTCTGTTGCTTATAACGAAATACCTGGAACTGGGTAATTTATAAGAAAACGAAATTTATTCTTTACAGTTTCAGAGGCTGGGAAGTCCAAAGTCCAGGGAACACATTCAGTGAGGGTCTTCTTTGGTGGTGGCTTTACAGCAATGCAGGGGTCTCACATGGCATAAAATGGTGGAATAGAGAGGGAGACTAACTTCCTCATTCACTCTCTTTTTAAAGTTCTCAGAACCACACCCCTGACCACCATTATCAATCCATTCACTATGGCATGGTCCTACAATCTAATCACTTCTTCAAGGTCCCACCTTTCAATTACCATAATAGGATTCCCCACCCTCAACAGTAACAGTGGGGATTAAGCCTTAATGAGGTTGGGGGGAGCATCTAATCTACAGCATTCTGCTCCTGACCCCCCAAAACTCATATCCTTTTCACACACAAATACATTAATTTCATCCCCAAAGTCTTAACTTGTTTCAACTCCAAAGTCCAAAGTTCAAAGTCCCATCTATGAAGTCAATACAAGTTACCTACTTCCAAGATACAATGGTGGGGCAAGCATAGGGTACATATTCTGTTGGGCTAGGGCTCAGACCCTTCAAACCCATTGTGCAGACTGGGTCACCAGAGCCCTCATGTGCCAGGCTGCATCACCATAGCTCTCATATACAGACTGGGTCACAGACCCCTCACATGCAGGTTGCAAGCTAGGAATTGGGAAAGATCCTGGGAGCCATTGGCAGACAACACAAGCTCAGTCCTTAGCTTCCTCAGCAGCTGTAGCAGCTTACAAGAGCCTCCAGCAGCAGTAGCAGTGACCTCCTGGAGCATCCTGGGGGCACTGGCAGCAAAAGCTTGCAGCAACAACCTCCAGCAGCAGTAGTAGCCTTCCCCGGGCATCCTGGGGGCAGGGGGCACTGTGGATCAGAAGCACTCATCTTTTATACTTAAGTCCAATTACCCAGAAACACCTGCGTGCAAGTCAGACAACCAAGGAACACCTGGGTGCACGTGCATATTTATATCAAATGCTCTGCAGGATTCTGAACATCTGAGGGACCCTGACCATTTACCTTCACTTTCCCTACGTATTCCCATTCAGAAAGGGAGATACAGGCCAAAAGGATGGGGTAACAGGTCCTAAGCAAGTCCGAAACCAGCAGGGCAGGCATGAAATCTTTTTTGTTTGTTTGTTTGCTTTGGTTTTTTTAAAAAAATTATTGAATCAAAATTGATTATACATATTTTTGGGGTTCAAAATTGAGATATGTTGATCAAATCAATATTACTAGCATATACATTGTTACAAATCGTGATTATTCTTTAAGGCATGAAATCTTAAAGCTGGCAAATCATGTACCTTGACTCCATGTTTGACATCTTTTTTTGACCAATAAAGGGGGTCTTAACCCTTGACTTGGTGTTATCAGCACCACACTCTCCCGAGTAAGCCACGGGCTGGCCCTCATGTTTGACATCTTCTGCATGCTTGTGTAGGGATTGGGTCTCCAAGTCCTCGGGCAGCTTCACTCCTATGGTTTTCACGGTCTGAGGCCATGCTTCAGCTCTTGTAGCCTGGCGTTGCCCTCTGGTAGATCCACAATTCTGTTGTCTCCGTTGTAGTCCTTCTCCCATGGCTCTACCAGGCATGTCACTGGTAGGGTTTTTCTGCTACAACTCCAACCCCATGTTTCCACTTGGCATTGCTCTAGTGGAGGCTCTCTGCAGTGACTCTGCCCCTGTGACAGATCACTTCCTGGGCCCCCAGACTCTTCCACACATCCTTTGAAATCAGGGTGGAGTCTCCCAAGCCTCCACAGCTCTGGCATTCTGAGAGCCTGCAAACTTAACACCACGTGGATGCTGCCAAGGCTTCTGGCTTGTATCTCCCAAAGCTGTGGTTCCAGCCATACCTGGGGCCAATTTAGCCACAGCTGGAGCAGCCAAAGCAGCCAGGGTGCTGGTTTGGGAAGCAGCTTCCCAAAGTGGCCCTGGGCAGCAAGCTTGAGGAGGGAGCATCATACCTGTTCCCCTTGAAGGAGGCACGGACGAAAGAGACACACGAGACCCGGGCTGACGGTTCACCAGAGAAGTTCTGCTTTATTGAAGGACTGCACATATATTTATAGGGAGCTGCCTTCTGGGTTTGGATGGGGGGTGGACGGGGCGATAGCTGATTGGACGGGGCTGGGCGGGAGGTGAGCCTTGACCTGTGACTGGTTGAGGCTTGGCGCCAGCAGGCTTGGGTTTTGGCGCCAGCCGGCTTGTTGACTGTGGAGAAGAACCCGGAAGGGTGCCATATTGCCAGGGAGTGTCCCCTGCCTGGGTGCCTACGGTATCCTTACATTCCTCCCTTTTTCCTCTGTTGTGGGGAATGGGTCATCGTAATCTTCGAACTACTTCCTGCTGGACGGGGGCGTAGTGGGGGGAGAGGAATTGGGAGGAGATAGGAGACCCTTTATTAGGCCCCAAAGGAGAGTAGAAAATAAAGTAATTTCGAGGGGGGAGAATTCTAGAAATGTTCCCTGAAGCCACAGGTCAGTTATTTGTTGAGTCCAGTGAGTGTAGGAAACCGTAGGGGAGAGCATCCAGGCGTCCGCGACTAAAACCTCCAGGAACAGGGACCATTGGTGATGTAGATCCATTTTAACAGTGTGTTAGCTGATCTGTAGCCAATAGTTGGTAATTCCTGAGTAAAAGCTGGTTAAAAGTCTGGTTAGAGATTTTACCAACTTGAGACTGGATGAACTTTATGCAGTAGAAGAATCCAACAACTGCCCCAGCCCACCTAGAGTCCCAGGGGTCACTGATGGCAAGTTGGAGCATGCCCTGTGTGCCGCGCCGAAGTATCCAGCCCCCTGCATTTATAAGCGGGTCATGAATTTTGCGTGACCAGTACGGGCATCTCCCATAAGTTTCTGGCCACCAGCGGCAAGAAGGTTGAGTCTGGTCAAAGATAAAACGTATATATGGGCGGGAGGATTGAGAGGTTATTTACTCCCTGTAAGGGGGATGGTAATGGCCCTTTGGCATCCAGCTACAGAACAGTCCGCCGTGGAAGGGAGTAGTTTTGTGGTCTTACCTTGCCCCCCTGTATAAGTTTCTCGTACTGTGAACCTCCAGATGTATGAGGATTCAGAGGCACCTACTAGTTACAGCGAGAGGAACAGGATGATGTTAACGGGAGTGGTCATTGTTCCTGTACTGGAGGGAGACTTGGGAGTCGGGACAGGCGGAGCTTGAGAGGGTTAGAGGGGTGAGGAGTGCAGGCAAAGGCGTTATTTTGTTGAAAGGGTGTGTCCTGAACTTGTAGGTCACACGTAGGTTCCGCGGGAAAGGGTGTGTTTTCTGCGGGATCCGTTGGTGAAGTCGGGAAGCAGGGTTTTAACCTAGAAATGTGGATACCTCAAAGGCGGAAAGGTTGGTGGGTTTTTTGGAAGAGCTCTAAGTCTGAATAGGGCCAAGGGTAAGAGGAGAACCCAGTCCAAGTGAAGTTCTAAAGAAAGTTTGGTGAGAGTGTCCTTTAGGGCCCGGTTTGTCCGTTCCACTTTTCCTGAGGCTTGGGGCCGGTAAGGGTAAGTGCCAAGGTAGTGAGAGTGTTTTAGATAGATTTTGTATAATTTGAGCAGTGAATTCTGGTCCGTTATCTGTCTGTATTGAGGAGGGCATTCCAAATCTTGGGATGATTTGGGAGAGGAGCAGGGAGGCGACGGTAGAGGCCTTCTTGTTTGTGGTGGGATAGGCCTCTATCCACCCAGAAAGGTTGTCCACAAATACCAGGAGGTAGCGATGGCGTCGGACCGGAGGCATGTGGGTAAAATCAACCTGCCAGTCCGCTGCTGGAATATTTCCCCTGGCTTGGTGTGAGGGGTAGGGTTTGGCCTTTAAAGGAGTGTTAGGATTTGTGTGCTGACAAATAGAACGGTTGCGGGAAATGTGTGTAAAAGGGTTTTGTCTGAATGGATTAGAGAGAAAGGTCTGGAGAAAATGGGATAAGCTTTGAGGGTTGGAATGGAATAAATCATGGAGAAGGTGAAAGAGAGTGGGTTTGTCGGGTTCAGTGGGATTGCTTGTATCAGTAGGTACATTAAGCGGACAGAGGGGAAGGAGGGGTTCTGGGGGCTCCTGGGGAACTGTGTCCGTCTCCACCCCCGCCCCCACCACCCGTTTTAGTTTAAGAGATGTGGGTGGGCGGCGGGGCGGGCCGTGAGCGACGCAGGGGAAACGGGAGGGCTGGGGCTTTTGGTAGCGGCCACTTGGGCCGTACTATCAGCTTTGCAGTTACCTTGGGTTACGAGGGAGTCGTCCCTTTGGTGGGCCTTGCAGTGGATGACCCCCAGTTGTTTCAGCAACTGTGAAGCTTCAAGAAGTTTGTTTATTAGGGCAGAGTTAGTTATGGTATTACCTTTGGTGCTAAGTAGCCCCCGTTCCTTCCAAATGGCTGCGTGTGACAGTAAGATGTGGAATACATACTTAGAGTCTGTGTATAGATTAAGGGATTTTCCTTCTGTGAGTATGCAGGCATGGGTGGCAGCAAGGAGCTCGGCCTGTTGGTTAGTAGTGCCCGATGGTAATGGGAACGCCTCTATGACTGAGTGGAGGGACACTATAGCATACCCTGCATAATGTTTGTTGTCTTGTTTAAAGGAGGATCCGTCTGTAAACCAAGTGTAATCAGCCTGGGGAAGGGGGCCCTTGGAAACTGAGGAATGACAGGGAATGAGGTTTTGCAGGGCCTCCGTACAATTGTGGACCGGCACGTCAAGTGGGGAAGATACTGGGAGGAGAGTAGCTGGATTTAGGGGTGGGCAAGGAAGGAATGAAAGGGATGGGTTTTCTTTTCTTTTTTTTTTTTTTTTTGTCTTTTTGTCTTTTTCCATGTCCGGCAACGGATTGCAACCCTCAGTGTTGCTCCCGTACCGGACCGGGGACCGGCAATGGGATCGCAACCTTCGGTGTTGCTCCTGTGCCTCGCTCAGCCAGTGAGCGGGAACCGGTCCGTATGTGGGATCCGAACCCTCGGGCGGGAGCGCCACCGCGCTTCCCAAGCGGCGCACTATCCAGTGCGCCACCAGGCCGGCCCTGGATGGGTTTTCTTAAAAGGAAGAAAGTAGGGCTAGGAACCTGGACGGGGGAAGGGAATGTAGCGCCTTGTAGGTGAGGAGGTCTTTTATTTTTTTTTTATTTTTTATTTTTTTCTAAGATGACCGGTAAGGGAATCTTAACCCTTGACTTGGTGTTGTCAGCACCACGCTCAGCCAGTGAGCAACCGGCCATCCCTATATGGGATCTGAACCCGTGGCGTTGGTGTTATCAGCACCGCACTCTCCCGAGTGAGCCACGGGCCGGCCCCGTGAGGAGGTCTTTTAGATGATGAGGTGAGAGTATGGTTAAGCGTGCCCCAAACGTTAATTTGTGTGCTTCCCTTTGTAATACATTTCCGGCTGCCAGAACCCGGAGGCAGGGGGCCCACCCACGTACGGTGGGGTCAAGTTGTTTGGATAAATATGCTACTGGGGCAAAGGAGGGGCCATATGTTTGTCCCAGGACTCCTAAAGCTTGACCTTCTCTTTTGTGGATATAGAGTGAAAAAGGTTTGGTGAGGTCAGGAAGATGTAAAGCGGGAGCCTTGACCAGAGCTTCGAGGAGTTTTTGAAATGTCTTGTTACGGGAGGAGGACAGGGGCTCGTTTGGATCTCCCTTGGCTAAATTGTATAATGGGCGGGCCATTAGGGAAAAGTTGGGGATCCAGGCCCTAAAATACCCAGCTAGGCCCAGGAAGGATAAGATTTCTGTTTTGGTTTTTGGAACGGGTAAAGAGGATAGTAATTGTTTTCTGTCAAGGGTGATTGATTTTTTGGAGGGGGATAATTGGAACCCTAAATAGGTGACAGTGGAGTGTGATACTTGGGCCTTAGAAGGGGAGACACGATCCTCTGTCCGCCAAGAAGTTGAGAAGCGAAGCTGTGTCTGTTTGTGACTGTTCCCAAGAGGGACTGCAAAGTAGGAGGTCATCTACATACTGTAAAAGGGTTGACTGAGGGTGAGAGGAATGGAATTGTTTGAGGTCTTGGGCCAGTGTTTGGCCGAAAATGTGTGGGCTATCCCGGAATCCCTGGGGGAGGACAGTCCAGGTGAGTTGTTCAGAGTGTCGTGTATTAGGATTGGTCCAGGTAAAGGCAAATATGTCTTGGGAAGCGGGGTCTAGGGGGATGGAAAAGAATGCATCTTTTAGGTCCAGGACAGAATAATGAGTTGTGGAAGCCGGGATTTGGGATAAAAGAGTATAGGGGTTGGGCACTAAAGCATGGATGGGAACAACAGCGGCATTAATTAGGCGGAGATCTTGGACTAGTCGGTAAGACCCGTTTGGTTTTTTTTACTGCCAGTATGGGAGTATTGAATGGTGATCAGGTATGGCGGAGGTATTGTTTTTGAAGAAGGTCTTTAATTATGGGTAAAAGCCCATGGAGGGCCGCAGTACTAAGAGGGTACTGGGGTTGACTTATGTATCTGGAGGGATTTTTTAGTTTTATTGTTACAGGGACACAATGTGCAGAGGAGGGGTTATTGGTGTCCCATATGACAGAGTTTACAGGATGTAGTAGAGAAGGGTATGTGTTTTGATTTTCCTCAGGGAGGAATGCTAATAGGAAAGGGATTGTAGGAGATGGGGGAGATATGGAGATGGAGACATGTAGCTGAGCGAGGATGTCTTGACCCAATAAGGGAATGGGACATTGAGGCATGACCAGAAATGAGTGGGAGAAAGGAGAAGGAACACCTTCGATATGGCAAGTTAGTGGAGGCATTTTACGGGGGTATTTCCTCCTACCCCGACTATAGGGGAAAAGTTAGGTGTAGTTGGGCCCCGAAACTCCTTTTTTTTTTTTTCCTTTTTGTCTTTTTTCGTGACCAGTAACGGGATCGCAACCCTTGGTGTCGCGCCCGTACCGCGCTCAACCAGTGAGCGGACCGGTCTCCATATGGGATCCGAACCCTCGGCGGGAGCGCCGCTGCACTCCCAAGTGCCGCACTCTACCGAGTGCACCACTGGGCCGGCCCCCGAAACTCCTTTAAGACTGAAAAAGTGGCTCCTGTGTCCAGGAGGAAGGAAACGGGTCGGCCATCCACAACAATAGTTACCCTGGGCTCGCTTTTTGTGATGGTCATGGTCGGGTAGGACCCAGGGCCCCATCAATCTTCCTCAGCCAGACCCACTAGAGGTGTCTGAGATGCCCGGGATGGCTGGGGCTTGCTTGACCAACTTTCCCTTCAGATGGCTGGGCAATCAGAGCCCCAATGTCCCGTCCTTTTGCACTTAGGGCAGGGTGTGGTGGGTGGCCTGGGGGAAGGGCAGGATCGAGACCAGTGACCCTCTCGTCCACACTTGAAGCAAGCCCCAGGGGGTGTGTTTGGCCGAGTAGAGTGACCAGAAGTCATTTTTATTATTTGGGCCAGCATTTGGAAGTTAGCCTGATCAGCCTTTTGTTTTCGCCATTCCTTTTCCTCCTCCCTATTATGGAAAACTTTAAATGCCACTGATAAGATTTTGGTTTGTGGGGTGGCGGGGCCCTGTTCTAATATTTTTAGTTTAGCCCTAATATCGGGGTAGGATTGGGCCAGGAAATATGTCATAAGGACATGACGGCCATCCTCTGAGAGGGGGTCTAGGTTGGTGTATTGTTGAAAGGAGAATCTGTGTAAGAATTCAGAGGGTGTCTTGTCCTTTTTTTGAATTATATCTTGGATTTTTTGGAAATTGACTACTTTGCTGGCGGCCTTTTTGAGACCAGCCATGAGACAAGAGGCAAAGCGATCTCTAGCCTGAATACCTGGTGGTGTGTTGTAGTCCCAGTGTGGATCCTATTTGGGAACTGCCTGGGGGCCTAGTGGGAAAGCAGGGTCTGTACGGTGGGTTTCATCTGCATGGGCCTGGGCCGCGTCCCAGACATGGCAGCACTCTTCAGGAAGGAGAGTGTTGGCTAGGAGCATATAGATGTTGTGGTGAGTGAGACTGTATGCCTGAAGGACCCATTGGAATTCTCTAA